TTATTTATTTATTTGACAGAGACAGAGACAGCGAGAGCAGGAACACAAGCAGGGGGAGTGGGAGAGGGAGAAGCAGGCTTCCCGCTGAGCAGGGAACCCAATGCAGGGCTCGATCCCAGGACCCTGGGATCATGACCTGAGCCGAAGGCAGACGCTTAATGACTGAGCCACCCAGGCGCCCCAAAACCTTTTAATTTTTTAAATTTAAAACTTGACAGTTCTCCAATTAGCTTTATTTTTAACTTAATCTGGTCTTTAAAAATAACATTTAAAATTCACCTATTTGTTTTTTCGCCTACACCAGTTATGCTGAGATTTTAGCCACCTGGAAGCTTTATGCCCTTCTTCTTGGTCCTTAAAAGACAAAAGAAATCTCTCCTTAGTAATATCGTTCTTATGTAGATACCTATTTTTTTAATTTTATTTATTTATTTGAGAGAGATAGTGAGAGAGAGCAGAGCAGGAAGGAGGGGCAGAGAGACAAGCAGGCTTCCTGTTGAGCAGGGAGCATGACACAGGACTCGATCCTATGACCCTGGGATCATGACCTGAGCCAAAAACAGCTGTTTAACCGACTAAGCCACCCAGGCGCCCCTAGATACTATTTTAATGGACTGTATTCCTACACAATTTTATTTCTTCTTGAATGCCTGTTCTTTCTGCTCCCAAACTGTACGACCTAATGCCCATCTGTCCAATTTTTCATGGCTTTTTCTAATTGTCATCAGAGTATAAAGCCGTTAAGAATATAAAAAAACCACATGTGAGGTCCCTGGGTGGCACAGTTGGTTGAGCATCTGACTCAGTTGTCTCAGATTGTGATCTCAGGGTGGTGACCTCAGGGTCGTGAGATCAAGCCCCGTATCGGGCTCTGCGCTCAGCACGGAGGCCGCTTGGGACTTTCTCTCCCTCTGCTCCTCCCCACCACTCTCTCTCTCTAAAGAAATAGATGGATAAATCTTTAAAAAACAAAAACAAAAGCGAAAAATACCATATGTGGTTGGACTAATTGTCCTAAGGGGCAAAACAATGAAAAAGAACATGCGCTTCAGGTTCAGATCTGAGTCCTATGCCTAGTTCTGACCCTGAGTGGATCACTTAACTTTTGAGCCTCAGTTTCCTCAGGTATAAAATAGAATAACATTTGCTCACAGGGTTATGGCAAGTATTAAATGAGATATGTATAGTACCTCCTAACACATTGGCTCCTCAATAAATAGTAAATAGCCATGGCATTAAGGCATTCTATACAAAATCATTTTTGTCCTCATGACATCAACTTCAAAAAGCAAAGGGTATGTGCCAAACATTTCCTGATTTATCAACTTAACAACCAGAATTCTGATAGGATGTTTCTAATGATGTCATCTAATAAGGCACCTGCCACACTGACCCTGTGGGAAATGCAATCCAGACCACTTTCCTGGTCTTAACCTGCGGCACTAAGTCACAGATAACTTCCCTTTGGGTATGACCCTCAAGCCAGTAATTCACTCGCTGTCAACAGAACAGCGAGTTAATTTGGTAATGAAATTCTTTTTTAGAATTAGATTTGGTAATGAAAACTATGACTTTTTACTTACTTTTTTATTCTTTTATTCAGCCATTCATACCCTGTATGTTTACTACTATATAGTAGAAGCACTTACCCAAAGGAAGAAAGTTTTGATGTCTGTGACAACTGAGCTACTGCCGTGGGGAAAAGATGTGAACTTGACAGTGGGGCTGCTAAGTCCGTATTTTACAACACCAAACATTAAGCTAATTAAGTGTATAAACTTACATTTCAGGTGGAGTCTGCTGAGCCCACAAATATGAAAATGATTTCCTGAGAACTGTAAAAAATAATTAACTAAAAAGATGCTGCTGACTTGGTCACAAAAGCAAGGTGAACAGGAGGGTCTGTTGTGTGCGTCTGTAGCCAGTATGCGTGCGTGTGCATGCGTGTCCTGTACTTGTGCAGAGGTGACACAGGAAATGGGATAAAATTCAGTCTAATAGCACGCTGTGCTACTAGGCTGACTAAAGTGCTAAGAAGTTTGTTTACTCCAAAAAGTAGACAGGTTAACTGTTGGAAATTATGTAATTATTAGATAAAATTAACAGCAGTTTACAATTACATCACTTTACAGTTTACAAAGTTGTTAAATATACATTCAATTTGATACCCTGAAATAAAGAAATTAAACTCTTTTGCCCTCCCATTTCCCATCCATCAAGGACAGAGCTAAGGAACACTTGATTAGGAAAGGTCATTTAAATGCATCAAACTGTATAGCACCACAAAGAATAAAGGGGACAAAGTCAGGGCCCTGGAGGGGGCCATGGGGACTTAAAGAAGACGAGAGTGTTAAACATGAGGAAAGCCCAGGGGTCACTGAAAAGTCAGACAACAGAAGGGGCTGGTCATATTCACTACAGAAAAGAGAGGTGCACAGCACATGTTCCACATTCTAAAATAACATGAAAAGATCATAACTGAGGAGCTGGAGTTGAACTTTGTGGTTTCTCAGAACACAAGTAGATGACCACCAACCGTGGCTTATGAATGAACTCAGAACTCAAGTTCAAAATTCATCTGGCTGCAATGGAGGACCTCCTTGGCCCTTCCGAAATTTAACAAAGGTCATCTGAGGAGCTGCAATTTTACATAGTGGTGGCATCCTGAGAGCATCAATCAAGTGTAATATCTTACAATCGTGGAAAAGGAGTTTCCGAGCGGGGACGAGCAATATCGATGGGAAGCCGATACTTGGGCCATCTCTTGGAGATTCCTGCTGAAAGAACTGCAAGTGTTTCTCCAGAGAAAGCACTTGCCTGGGTATGACTCAGGGCCGGGCAGGAATTCACACTATGAATCCGGGTGGTAGGAAGGCGGAGAAGTATGCCTACAAAGATCAAAGAGCCAGGAATGGGAAACACACTAAAAACCTCCCCAGTGGGCAGGCTGCCTCCCCACAGGTAAAAAGCCTTCTTTAGTCCTGAGCATAATCAAGGAGACAGAGGAACACCCTGGATGCCACCAGCATAGGCAAAGCGAAAAAAAAAAAAAGAGAGAGAGAGAAAAGAAAAAGTGTGATTACATACATACATACGAAAGATTTAAAAAAAAAAAAAAAGCAGAAGCAGAGACTGGCAAAAAAAGAGGAAAAGGAGCAATGCTCACATCAAGGGGGCTGCCAACAGCCCCACTGATGCTGCTCTAGAGCACTACCAGGTGCCTAATCCAAACCATCCAAACAACAAAGGAGAGACTCGGTTTAAAGCTGAAACTTCTGCTGCTCCGGGCGAGGTTACTTAGGACTACCATCTGGATGACTCACTGAAATAGACTTGCAGTGAGTCATGTCTTTAAATGAAGTCTCTCAAACTCTGCCTCTTGGAGATGAATTTAGGAATGTCAAGAGGTGAGGGATCATTCAACAAGGATTTTAGCCTATCTTTAAAAAAAGAATTTCCTCTTCCAAGGAAAATGGAAAACTTTTAGATACGGGGGCACTGAATTACCAGGAAGGAACGTTGTCTGGTTGTGGACTGGGAGGCTCTAAAGTCCCTCTCATAAAAAAAGGAAAAGATAGAGAAGGTGAGACCTTAGGCAAAGCACAAGCAAGTTTCCCTTTTCTAACAGGAAACAGATGCCCCATGAAAGCAGGAATCGTTAATTAAAGATAAGGAGTAAAATGTCTCCTCTTGAACCCCCCCGCCCAAGAAAACCCACTCCCAGAGGAAATGACCTTGAAGATGGAGGATTCAGAGGTTCTAAGACCTGGAATCTGAACCAAACTCTACTTTCTCAGAGACCTCGCACCTCCTCAGAAACAAGTAAGTAAAGAAATCCTAATAGGTAAACTGAATAATAAGGAAGTCCTTACCCAGTGAGACCACGTTCCCATAATTCTCTAACATCACTTCTCTGTAGAGATCCCTCTGAACAGGGTCCAGGCATCCCCATTCCTCTCGAGTAAGGTGCACAGCCACATCCTCGAATGTCACAAACTCCTGAAATAACACAGCCTGGCTGCTCTGGGGAATGAGGCCACTATAGCATCGTAGCCAGAAAAAAGGAGAAGACACAGAGAGGGTGTCGAGGGTGTCCAATGTGTAGCAAAGCTCGGGAGGAGGGAAAACAGACTAGAAACTAGGGAATCAGTTCCATAACCTTTAACATCTAATAAACGCCCATCACAGCACCAGGGATAGAGAAGGAACAGTGTTTACTGGTGGAGGTGGGGAAATGGGAAGGTGGTTTCTGTGAAGTCCACGTCTCTGAAGAGGATCAATTCCCAAACTGGGGTCTGCTACTGAAAGAAATTCGAGGCAGGGTTTACGGATGGGATGAGGGAAGGGCCACAGTCGATCAGTAGCAACAGTCCCTGAGGAAAAGCAGAGGGTTCCTCAGCTCACCTGGTACCTGGCTGTCAGGAGCGTAGCTGCCTGGTCTCCTGGGCTTCCCTCATGGGGAAGAGCAGGCACCTGGGGAACAGGTGGAGCTGAGGGAGGAGAGAGGAGCCAAGAGTGAGAGCAACCCTTCCCCAGGGCTCCCTGACAGAAGAGGGAGTCAGTGGGACCCTTCTTCACATCAACATTCTAGTAAAACCAATGAACGTTTATCAGGTACTGAGTGCATCTACTCTGCTCCTTCTCAGCATCAGCATGCCCTCCTTACCCATGTTTAGACCCGTGATTCAGGATTTTCTTTTAAAATCTCGATTTGACTTTATTCTCATGACAGGACATTCCTCTAACAGGAGAGTAAGCACTATACCTGTTTTGCAGATGGGCAAAGCAAAGCATAAAGACTTGCAGTGACTTGTCCAGGGCACTGACTATTTAGTCGACCTCTGAAGCTTTCCCGGACACTGTTCTGTAAATTTCAGTAAGCCTTCGTGTGAAAGGGCACTGTCTCTGCAACCACTGTGTAAGGCTCCCAAGAATAAGGAATGGTCATCTGTTTCCTCACAACCTTTTCCACACTCCCACGACACCCCACAGCACTCTACACACGACGGCACTCAACTGGTGTTGCTGACACATAAGTTATTTCAGGCACTGCAGTTGGCCCAGCAATTTAAAACAAGGTTCTTACAAAACAAAAAAGTACAAGACATGTCAACCTATCTATACGATACATAAAGATGTTACTGTTGAGTCAATATGCGATATGTATACACTCGTACAGGCGTGCTCGACCAAGGAATTAAATGGTTGCTTTTTTGGCCAAAATTAGATTAGTCACAAACACTGCAGCTGCAACAGAATGGCAGGTGGCAAAGCTCGCAAAGTCATCAAGGAGTGAAGAAACTAAGTAAAGGGAACAGGGGGACAGAAGGGCCCTAAATCTAAGAGGAAGTAAAAGCGAGGCAAGGATTTTGAGATGCAGCAAAAGCAGCGTATCTTAGAAATTGTTCTGGATGTGAAACCAGGATAAAGTGAAGGTTGTATGAACGAAAAAAAGCCAAAGCAGAGTGAATGACCACCACTCTGCCTATTAAAAAAAGATGGGCTGTCCTTAATAGAAGAGCCCAAGACCAGGACGGAACTGAGTCACATCTGACCCTCCCTTCCAGACCTCCCCTAGGGGCCATCTTCTTATTGAAGTTCCCGGCCTCTCTCATACCAGGCCCGGGAGCCCCACTGCATCCCCATTCTCTTGGATTTAAGTGCTCTCTAGGCCTTACCCCCGTTGAGCTCCTGTTCCATGTCGGTGTCCTGCACGAACGGAGGCTCTGGGGACAGACCCTCAGACAGGCTCTCCAAAGACTGAAACTGGACAACTGGTGATCCTGCTGCTTCCTGGGCGGATATTTCCTCCATCCCTGTTATGGAGGACAAGGACCATCACTGCCCGGTGAGATTGCCAGAATTCATTGCACTAAGTTAAGCCATCCCATTATTTTACATCCTCAGGACTTAGCAAAGTATCTTACACACTGCAGGTACTCGATAAAAACAGTTAATAATAACCAACCACCTAAATAAAACAACAGAAAGAAAAATGGAAATTATTGTTTCAAATATTTAAGAACCAAATCTTATGGTCCAAGTGTGCAACTTTAAACTCCACAAATTCAGAATTTGTGGTATTTCAAGAAAAACAAAAATCAAGAAAGCACAACTTAAAGATTTCTGAGGAAAGTTTAAAATATTTGAAATGTATAGGGGCGCCTGGGGGGCTCAGGTCATGATGGGATCGAGCCCCGCATCCCGCTCCCTGCTCCTCAGGAAGCCTGCTTCTCCCTCTCCCACTCCCCCTGCTTGTGTTCCCTCTCTAGCTGTTTCTCTGTCAAATAAATAAAATCTTTAAAAAAAACTTAAAAAATATTTGAAATGTACAGACTTCTTTCGAGGGTCAAGTTTGTACCCAGAAAAACATGCTAGTTATGATTACTTTTTTTTCTTTTAAGGCAGGCCCCCGAGGAATTGCTTGGCAAACACTCTGCCCACTTTGAATTCCTAAATGGGCCTGCCTAATGACAAAATTCCCATTCGGTGGGGGTGGGGTGAGGTCGGGGTCAGACCCCTCACCAACGCAGACGAGGTGAGCAGGCCGCTTCCCACGGCCCTGACAGTGATGCAGGGAAGAGCCGCGCCTCAAACAGGTTTGGCTCGTGTCCTTCAAACCCAAGGACGCCACAGGGCTCCGTCCCGCTTCCACAACCCTCAGAAACGGCCCTGGCGCCCTGCCCTCGGAAGGCCTCGCCCGGCGCTGCCCTCCTCCCACTTCCCTGTTTTAGGTGAACACGCGCTCCCCGAAGAGCAAGGCAGGCCACAGAGACCCAGCTCGCACCAGGGCAGGGTCACCGGGCCCCGGCGACGAGGCCCTCAGTCCGTGGGGCGTCAGGGTGAACCCTGACTGAGGAGAAACAGGCCCTCGCAACCCGGCCCCGGAGCGCTCCTGGGGACGGGAACCGCCGTCGGCCGGAACCGGGCGCCTCCCCCTCCTTCCCAGGAGCCTAAACTAACGACGACGTCCACCGCGACCCCAGAACGGCTGCCAGGCACTCACCCGAGCGGAGGGGCAGGCCAAGCGGCCGTCCCGTCGCGGGCACCCTCGCTCTAGGAGCAGCCCCAGGGTTTCCGGGGTCGCTCTAGACCGCTTGGAGGCCGGCGCTTCTCAGTGGCACTTCCGGAGGCGGAGTCCGACGGCAGTCGGCAAAAGGCAGGCCCCGGATGAGGGCCCCGGATGAGGGCCCCGTACTGCGAGGTTCTCGCGCTTGGCTTCCCCCCCCCCCCTTATACTTCCCTGGGTCTGACCTCCCTCGGTGCTGACCCCTCTGGCAGCCTCTGTAGCCAGTATACCAGTAATGACCGCGACAGCCCCGGATTTGGGAAAGCGGCCCCGCTGGCCCTTCCCTGGTTCCAGCCAACCCTCGAGCCCCCGCTGGGTGGTGGCCAGCCCACGTGGTGCGTGTCCCGGGGGTGAAGATGCGTGGCGGACCTCATGGTCCCACTTCCTTAAGTCCGCGGGTGGGGAAACAGCACAGGGGTACAAAGTACACTGATTGGTTTTTTAGGATTTGTTTATTTTAGAGAGAGAGATGGGGGGTAGGGGCAGAGGAGAGACAGAGAATCTCAAGCAGACTCTGCTCAGTGCAGAGCCTGCTGTGGGGCTCGGTCCCATGACCCTGACATCAGACCTGAGTTGAAACCAAGAGTCCCTCCCTTAACTGTGCCACCCCAGGCACCCCCAAAACACACTGATTAAAGTGAGGGTGGAAGGCGTTTGGGTGGTATGAGGACCACAGAAAATCGTGGGATCAGAAACAATGTTTTGGAGGAAGGGACAGGGCATTGAGGAAGATGGAGTTTGTCAGAGAAATTGATCGTGGAAGACAGCTGCGTTCCTGGTGGAAAGACTGGACTCTACAGAAATGGATAGGTAAAGCAGGGCACATGAGGACAGGCAGGCCGGGCGCTAGAACAGAAGCCCTGAGGGCATTGTGACCTCACAGATCCTTCCAGAATGGGATGTCTAGTGGTGGAACTGGATTTGCAAGGGGCTTTAGATATTAGTCCTTTAAGTTTACAAATCAAGTATGATCCTGTAATGACATTTGACATTTCAAATTAAATATAAGAAAAATCAGAAGTATAGTATTCTACATGCTTTTTCAAATTCCATCAGCCTCTCAGAGATTCTAATATGCCTTCCCTTTCCTTCTTGAGTGTCATCGATCTAATGCAACTTCCTACTATGACACAATCTCTAGTCTACAGTATCTGGCACAGTGGAGTCAGCATCACAGAAGATGCACTGCTTAGTCAGTTGCTTGCTGTACAGCTCCAGTTAGAACCTTTTTCTTGTGTTGAACAAAAATATACCCCCTGGTGATATTTGTTGTTCCTGTTGAGATCCTGGGACAGTAGATGGCACCATTACTTCCTCCTCTTCATTAATAGCTCTTCTAATATTCTAGGATCGCTATGAGTTTGGGGTTTTTTCCTGAGTTGCCATTTCCCCACAAGTTGTACCAATTAGACTGCTGCAGTTCTGCAGAAGAGGTGAGCAAACTGTGCCAGTGGTGCATTTGTGTCTTAAGTTTTAGCTGACTCAGGCCGTTTGCTCCAGTGAGAATACCTTAGGAGGCTCTCATTTAAGAGTCCACTTCTCGGGGGGCGCCTGGGTGGCTCAGTCGTTAAGCGTCTGCCTTCGGCTCAGGTCATGATCCCAGGGTCCTGGGATCGAGCCCCGCATCGGGCTCTCTGCTCCGCGGGAAGCCTGCTTCTCCCTCTCCCTCTCCCCCTGCTTGTGTTCCCTCTCTCACTGTGTCTCTCTCTGTCAAATAAATAAAATCTTAAAAAAAAAAAAAAAGAGTCCACTTCTCGGGGCACCTATGTGACTCAGTCAGTTGAGCATCCAACTCTTGGTTTCAGCTCTGGTCATGATCTTTGGGTTGTGGGCTCCAACTCTGCACGTTGAAGAGTCTGCTTGTCCCCCTCCCTCTGCTCCTCCCTCCGTGCTCTCTCTCCTCTCTCTTTAAATAAATAAAATCTTGGGCGCCTGGGTGGCTCAGTTGGTTAAGCGACTGCCTTCGGCTCAGGTCATGATCCTGGAGTCCCGGGATCGAGTCCCACATCGGGCTTCCTGCTTGGCGGGGAGTCTGCTTCTCCCTCTGACCCTCTTCCCTCTCGTGCTTTCTATCTCTCATTCTCTCTCTCTCTCAAATAAATAAAAAAATAAAATAAAAATCTTTAAATAAATAAAATCTTAAAAAAAAAAAGTCCACTTCTCTTCAGTAGGCATCAATCCCTAACAAAAAGTAGTCAGAAACTACTTTTGATTCTGAGCAAGATTTTCAACAGTTCTTCAGATGACATAGGTGGCAACAGTTAGCCAACTCATAAAGTTTGTCATTTTTATCTTACACTCTATTGCTTCAAAGAAAAAATATATGAACAACTATTCCCAAGGGATTGAGCACTTCCTTGGTCTTTCCCATATGCCCACCATTGCACTAGGCATGGATAGTTACGAAAGAAAGAAAATATTACACCAGAATTGACACAGGCTCTAAACAAGGGTTTGTTTTCCCTGACTGCTTTTATCTCCACCAGCACCATCATCTGAGGGTTTATAGGATGCCTTATCCATTAGACATACCTTAAAACGAGGAACCCACTTTATGGTCGAGGAGGTCTGACAATGAGCTTGTAACCACAGAATTCATGGTGCTTACTCATCACACAGAAGCAGCTATCCGATAGAACTGTGGAATGGCAGGGCCACCTGGGTGGCTTAATTGGTTAGGTCTACTTTTGGCTCATGTCATGATCCCAGGGTTCTGGGATCGAGCCCCGTGTCGGGCTCCCTGCTCAGTGGGGAGCCTGCTTTTCTCTCTCCCTCTGCAGGTCCCCCTGCTTGTGCTCTCCTGCTCTCTCTCTGTCAAATAAATAAACAAAATCTTAAAAAAAAAAATGACAACTGTGGAATGGCATATTGAAGACTCAGCTAAATTACAACCTGCAAAGTTGGGGAGCTGTCCTCTAGGATACAGTATTTGCACTGATACTCATTGAACCAATAACATATATATGATATTTTGTCTCCAATAGAAAGACTAAGTGGGTACAGGAACCAAGGGGTTGAAACAGGAGCAACCCCTATTACTATCATACGCAGTAACTCACTTGTGGAATTTGTGCTTCCTATCTCCAAACCCAGAGTCTCCTTGGTTATGGTTCTGATTCGCAGAAAAGAACATTTCTTCTAGGAGCTACATTAAATGTTCCAGTGAACTGGAAAGTGAGAATATCACCAGGCCACCTCAGGTTCCTTGTGGCAGTAGATCAACAGGCAAAGAATGGAGTTATTATAAAGGTCCCCCACAGTCTCTGCCACACACGCTACATAAATACAAAAACATACCAGCCATCTGCATTCAATAACCTACGTTCTTGAACCTTTTAGGCACTTTAGTGTAGGAATGAAGGGGGTGGTGGGTGGTAGGGATGAAAGGGAGAGGGCAGGGTTTAGACAAGAAAAACAACACATAACAATGTAATGGCTCTTGGAGGTGACTTGGAACACTGGAAGGAAATTTGAGGAAGTTTGTAGAGGAAGAAGTTCTAGGACTACAAGGTCTTCAAGGAGGACCATAGTTTAGTGAGCCAGCCAGGGATTAAGAAGCAAAAGATCTACTCAAGTGGTTTATTGAAGAGTCAATGGGGAAGTAGAAAGAAAACAGCGACAACCACAGCAAGGTCAAACCTCATAGGGAATGGGATATTATTTAGGGCTTGGAAGGTTACTCAGACTATCAACTGGTCATTGGTTGCCTCTGTAGCATGTGGCTCTAACTCTGGTGGGCTTTCCATTGCGCTCAGACTTGCCTTGGAATTTCAAGCGTGTCAGTCTTTCAAGGTCTTGCTTATGGTTTTATAAAAGGTGAGGTTTCTTCATCTTCTCCTCAAGTAATGGTAAAAGCCGTATAACTATTGTGCTAACATTTTGACAGCAAAATTGGATTTACTGTAGTAATTACATTATTATGAGGCCAAAAACTCCCTGGTAACTTTAGTCAAGCTCAGAATCTCACCACTATCTAGTACTAAAGAAGTTTATTGCCCATAGAAGAAATTTTTGAAAATACTGCCCATTCAAATGGCAGTACATAATCAGGGTCCCCAGAGAAGCCGCCACTTTGGCTTTGTGAAACCATTCATTCTTGCCTTTGATATTCCTCAATCTACATTTTTGTTACAGTTCCTCTAATACAGACACACCATCACTAAGCAGTATTGTTTGATAAGAACTAGAATTCTTACGATTACTGCCATCAATAAACGTGTAAGTATTTGAGCAGGATGGTATCAAAGGAAACTTAAGCCTCCTTTTTCGAGGCGGGAAAAGCTGAGCTGAGGTGACAGATCCCCAAAGCCCGACTGGCGATTGGAGAACAAGGCCGCAGTCCTCCCGCGTTCCTAGAGAGAACCCCGAAGGGCAGCCCGGCCCCGAAAGGCTGGTGTTGACGCACTTCCGGCTTCCGTGAGCCAGACGGACGTGCGCGCGCACTGAGGGTTGTGCCGAGCGGAGGTCTGCGTGCTGCTTTTCGATCTCCCCAGAGTCACCTCCTTCTTCTGTCCCAGCACCCCAGACTTTTCCGGGGTTCACGGTGAGATGCGGGTCCGGCCAGGGAGGATGGGCGGGGACAGAGGTGGATGTGTAGAGCCGTGTTCCGCGACTTCCCTCGCCACGACCGCCCCCGACGGGTGGAGGAGGCTCCACGTTCCCATCCTGCATCCCAGCCTCGGCCGGAGGACGCGCAGTCTCCCAGCAGAGAACAGCCCCGGATCCAAGCGGGAAGGGAACGGCGTTTTGTTTTCCGGCTAGGATGAGGTGCCTCTGGGACCGGGAAGAGGCAGTCCGCTGCGTGCCCCGCCTGGGCTCTCTTGTCCTCGGTTTTCACTCCGGGGGTAGCGGACAAAAGGAACCTGGGCTAATGTCTGTGTTCCCCAGTTGTCCGCCTTTGCTTTCCTTCTGGTGAGGGCTTTTTTACCTGAGTTCTTAAGGACCCAAAAATGTAAAATGAGGAAGACCCACCAAGCTCCACGGGCTTTTTTTTTTTTTTTTTTTAAGGGGA